TTCCACTCACTACTACGAATCTACATCCTCTCCAGAAGTCTGAGATCCGCTAGTGAGCGACGCCTCGTGGTACCATCACAGAGAGGCTCAAAATCACTTTCCAGAACATTCTCGTTCACCATTCCTGGCTGGTGGAACGATCTTCCCACCCCTATCCGGAATGCTGAATCCCTGACAATTTTCAAGCGACAGCTGAAAACTAATCTCCTTCGAAGCTACTTGACTTCATCATCATCATTATAAAAAAAATAAAAAAAATTCTCTCTTTATTTATTCCTTCTCTTTCTAGCTTGTACTTATTTGAACAATGTCTAGAAACTTGGTATTACAAGCACTTCCTGTATCTGTTTGCCTCTTTAAGAAGAATCGCTTTATGTATCCCCAAATTGTAAGTCGCTTTGGATAAAAGCGTCTGCAAAATGACTAAATGTAAATGTAAATGTACACTTTCGACACAAAATGATGCTTTGACTGTTAGGTAGAAGTGAGTTGCAGAGGTTACCTCAGTGCGGCCACAAATGTGGTATTTGCATACACCCTTCTGAAAACCAAAATTACAAATGGGACACCCTACGTTGCAGCCTGGAATTAAACCACACCATGCTGGTTTCGTCTGGCCAGAGGAGAACTGGCCCCCCGACTGAGTCTGGTTTCTCCCAAGGTTTTTTTCTCCATTTCTGTCACCGATGGAGTTTTGGTTCCTTGCCAATGTCGCCTTTGGCTTGCTTACTTGGGGACACTTAATTTCTGGCAATATTGTCGACTTGAGTGCACATACTATTTGAACTGAACTGACTGGACGATGAATCAACAATGAACTGACTTTAACTGATAAACTGACTGTTTTCTATTGTCCTCTTGCATTATCAGCACACATTTTTGCAGTTTAACACTGTGAAGCTACTTTGACACAATCTGTATTGTACAAAGCTAAATAAAGGTGACTTGACTTGACTACAGTAGGGGTTCTCAACTCTGGCCCTCGAGGTCCACTTTCCTGCAGAGTTTAGCTGCAACCCTAATTGAATACACCTGAACAAGCTAATCGAGGTCTTCAGGATTACTAGAAAGTTACAGGTAGGTAAGTTTGATCAAGATTGGAGCTAAACTCTGCAGGACCTAAAATTTCACACCTATTACACCTAGTGGACCTCAAGGGCCAGAGTTGAGGACTCCTGTCCTTACAGTGCACTCCAGCTGTAAGAGGAGTGCGACACAAAGTTTACAACACTGCCAGAACTTAGTTGGAGCCTTTAGCCTCTCATCGAATGCTAAAATTCATTTTCTGGGTTCCGCTTCGTCTTGCACACAGTTGAGCATGCAAGTCTTTCAAAGTATACTCCATTGACTGTGAGTGTGGATGGATGCACTCGGTTAGTGGACCATTCTTTTCAAGCTCTCAAATCACTTGCACATACACTGTTGTAGCCGGACAAGTCTGCATGGACAAAAACTGGTCTGCACACAGACATTGTGAGGACATCAGCAGAACAAAGGAATTATTATTTCGGCTGAAGGCCCAGGTGTGCTTCATTTTCCACAGTCCACTCCGTTTAGCGCACCTTCAAAGAATACTCTAACACAGTGGTTCTCAAACCTGTCCTGGAGTACTCCCAGCCCTGCACATTTTGTATGTCTCCCTCATCTATCACACCTGATTCAACTCATCAGCTCATTAGTGGAGACTGCAATATGAGTGGGTGTGTCAGATATAGGGAGACATACAAAACGTACAGTGCTGGGAGTACTTCATGGAGAGGTTTGAGAACCCCTGCTCTAACACAAAGCTACCAATGTCCAAGGCCTGGTCCTCTCTTTCCCTCAACTGTCATCGCTCCTCCTTATATCCTTCCAGATCTCATCTCTGGGACTTGAGACCAGTGTGCTGCACAGGTGTCTCACATAAGTATTCGCTCCACCAGCTGAGAGGCCTACACT